GGCCAGGGGATCAGGGTAGGCGAATTTCCAACGTAGACAGGTCCTCCAGGTGTTGTGGAGTGTTGGCAAGAAATCCAGGTGTGGATCTTGCAGGTTTCCAGGCAGCTCCAGGTGAATCCAGGTAGCTCCAGAGTGGCCGTGACATTGGAGGGTCGTCTCATCACTCCATAAATGTCGTTCCGAGATCCCCCTTGGGCCATGATTGTATTGGAAATTGGCCAGGGGATCAGGGTAGGCGAATTTCCAACGATGACAGGTCCTCCAGGTGTTGGGGCGAGTTGGCAAGAATTACAGGTGGGAATCTTGCATTTTTCCGGTCGCTCCAAATGGATCCAGGTGAATCCAGGTAGCTCCAGTGTGGCCGTGACATTGGAGGGTCGTCTCTTCACTCCACAAATGTCGATCCGAGATCCCCCTTGGGCCACGATTGAATTGGAAAATTGGCCAGGGGATCAGGGTAGGCGAATTTCCAACGTTGACGGGATCCTCCAGGTGTTGACGAGGGTTGGCAAGAAATCCAGGTACGCATCTTGCTTGTGTCGGGCTTTTTCCATATTTGAAAATGTTGCTCCAGGTATTGGAGAAATATGGAAGGCATCACGTACGATGCCAATGGCCAGTTTTATACTATTAATAATAGCAACTGGAAACCTGGAGAGTGTGGCTTATATCCCGGTTATTATGGCTGACTTAAATTTCCAATTGGAGTTGTACAGGGATCCAGAAAGTATAGTTTACTTTTGTCAGTCAGCTGAAATCAGCAGTCAGCTAAGTATGATTTGGTCCATTGGGATGGCATCTGGAATCCAGAGTCAGTCGGCATCAGATATCCATGTTTAACGTTGAGAACCAATGGAATAATAGGCTGATATCCAGGTAGTAGTATTTTCCGGATGAAGCGATGGCTGGAGTAGTTGGCAGCCAGGCAGGTAAATTTTTGATGAATGCCAATTTGGATAGCTGCTGGGATTATGGTAAGTATGTTTGTTCGTCAGCGGCTGGGATGCCAGGTGGGTACTATTGAACTGATTTCCAGTTGAGAGACATTAGCTGGAATACAGACAAGTACAAAAATTAGTAAGATCTAAATATGAAAGTAATTAGAGTCTTAGCTGGGATCATCGGTGACTGGCATCCATGGATATTAAAATAAGCGAGGTCCAGATGAATGAAGTGGCTGGAGTCCTGGCAGTATAGTTGATCATCAGTATTTGGTATTCAGGTAGTGATTTTAAATCCAATTGGAATAGTGGCTGGCACCCAGGTGCATATAGTTGGGCGTCAGCAGTGGGAATCCAGATAAAATTGGGTTCCAGACAAAACGATGGCTGGCATCAAGTTAAATAAAAATAAACTAGATCCAGATATAAGCAGTTGGAATCATGGCTGTGGTCCATAGAATAATTATTCGTCAAAAGGTGGGATCTAGGTAGAATTGGGTTCCAGGCATAAACAGTAGCTGGCATCAGGTTGACTAAAATAAACTAGATCCAGATATGAGTAGTCGGAATCCAAATGGTAAAATTATTCGTCAGGAGGTAGAATCCAGGTAAAAAAAATAACGTTCCAGGCAAAAGCAGTAGCTGGCATCAGGTTGAATAAAATAAACTAGATCCAGGTGTAAGTGGCTGGAAGTGTAGTTTAGATCCAAATGGAATAATTATTCGTCAAAAGCTGAGGTCCCAGTAAAAAATTAAGATCCAGACAAAACAAGCTGGCATCAAGTTATAGTTATAGCTAAGATCCAAATGGGATAGAAGGTGCCATCCATGTAAGTATAATGATAATAAAAAGGCCAATTTATTTTATTTTTAGACAGCCAAGATCCATTATTCGTATTTGTATATTGCAGCGGCTAATTTTCCAAAGTCCATGGAATTTTTTAGGAATATGTAAAGTCCCTCGTTGCTGGCCAGGATCCATTGCACATATGCCCATAAATTCAGGCAGCTATGTACATACTTGCTGTTGGCTGTATACATACGTTGGGGTAGGTTACGTATGTACATGTAAAATACCCATATTTGTTGTGTTTTAAAATGCGGCAACAAGTGGCTAATTCAGTTGTCAATTTAAAGATGGTTAAATTAGATTAATCAAATTTTTTTTTTTTTTTTTTTTTATCAAAGGTTCCACATATTTTCCTCTTTCTATCCTCCAATCTTGGATTGTATTTACCAAGGCTGTAGAAATAATCGACTTTTTAATGGAATTAGATCTTGTGCGACCGGACACGATCCATCCGAAAATCGTTTTTTGTCCGAGAAGTAAATCTCTTTTTACTATTTTCGGCATAATAATTTGTGGATATAAATCTGCACCAATTATTAGATCAATTTGGCCAGGTTTATCGGAATTGGGATCGGCTAAATAATAGCCTTTCCAGTCAAATTTATTTACATTTACATTATTTGTGGGAAGAGTTTGTTTTAAACTTGGTATAATAATTGCATTTGTGCTAAATTCTTTTGAATATTTACTATTTTTCTTGAATGTCAATTTTAGTTTGTGATTTGAAACACAGGAACCATTTGGTGATACTCCACTTATTTGTGTGGGAGATTTTATTTTCGGCAATTTTAATTTTTGGGCTGCCTTTTTAGAAATTAAAGTACTTTGTGACCCATTGTCAATCAAAGCTCTGAATTTTTTAAATTCACCATCTTGACCTTTTATTTGAACATAAGCGGTGGCCAACAACACTTGTTCAGAGGTCACGCATGTATTCACTATTGCCTTATTTACGTGGATCATGCTATGGTGATTATTTCTGTGACAATACGAACATTCTAACCAGCTATTGCACTTAGTGTCAGAACTGTGCTTTAAACATAAGTGGCACCAGTTCCATTTTTTAACAACGTCCATTCTTTCCTGTGGACTTAATGCTTTAAATTTGTAGCAATAAACCAATTGATGCCCGGGCATTTGGCACATCGGGCATGTTTGGTCACTTGTGTTAATATTTTTTGTTAGGACCTCATTTTCCAATGATGACAACGAACTAAGCCGTTGGTCTAAAAATTCTGTGACATCCTTTAAATTTTGAATCTCACTTGATTTTTTAACTTGGCCCTCATATTGTTGTAGAGCCTCAATATCTAATTTTTTTAAAATAATATGCGCAAAAATGCAATCTGATTCTTCGGTCAGAATTGCTTTTAGGCGCATCATATAAATTGATTCATTGATTGAATCAATTGTATTTTTAAGGTGCCTATATGAGTCCAATTTTATTTTTGGAAGCTCAATGAGGCGATTAAGCTGATCTGAGAATATTTTCCTATTATTCTCATATCGCTTAATGAGTAATTCCCAGGCAGCATCGTAATTATTGCCTGAGCCAAGCAATAAATGGGAAACCACATTTCGTGCTTCCCCTTTTAGAGCACTTTTAAGGTAGCTCAGCTTCAAGGATGGACTTAAATCCGTTCTTGAATGAACCAGCTCCTTAAATAACTCATAAAAATGGTCCCACCCAATCTTTGGAATTTCCAGAGAAATTGGGGACCTCAATTTTTGGTAGGCTAGGTAGTTCGTCCATTCTAGGGCTACCACCTTCTACCTTGTTAACTATTTTTTCTTGGATTTTATTATCCATTAGCTCGATGTGTATTTCAACATCCTCTTTGAGCTCTATAATTTTGCTCATATATTTATTATTGAGCCCTTCAATATTTAGTAAATCGGACACTGTATCGATTTTACTAAGAAACATTCTTAATTTTTTAATTCTTATAGGAAAGGTTTCATTTTTCCTTTCCTGAATCTCCACATAAGTTATCTCGAGGTAATCCTCGAGGTTCTTTATAGCCCCCTCAAGCCTCAAAAAAAAGCTCATCCTGGCCAATATATTTTTTAATTTTGTTGCTGGCGGACTTAATATTGGATAGCATGCTTTCGAAGTGATTTTTTAAGAAATAGTCATGCTCTACAGGACCGAGTTGAACCAAATGATTATGGTTCGTAAAGGCTTTTTGCTCCAAATTTTTTAATGCCTCCCTATCCTCTTCTGAATATGAATTTTTTGCGAGAAGCGCATCTATTTGCCGGGTGAGGCGCACCTGGTCTTCGATAATTGGAATTTTATCCTTAGTCGACATTATATGTTATTTTAAATTAAATTAAGTTCGAAAACTAAATTCAAGTGTTTGATATAAAATATAAAAATAAAAACGAAACATGCCGAGGACTACTTTCTAATTATCGCTGCTGATGTTGTTGCTGTTGCCGCTGTTGCTCCTGATGTTGTTGCTGTTGCCGCTGCTGCTCGTGATGTTGTTGCTGTTGCCGCTGTTGCTCCTGATGTTAGGTTGCCTTTCTCGATGTCGCCGTTACTAATGTTGTGTTACTATTGTTTTTGTATGTTTTTTGTGGATTTTTTTTTTTAGTTTAATTTTTGTGGATGTTTTTTTTTTAAACTTTTTAACTTTAACGGTTGTTGGTGTTGGTTTGTTTATTTTTGGCGTATGTTTGTTGTTATTATTTTGGCGGATGTTGCTTGGGGGTTTGTTTTTTGGGGTTTTATTTTATTTAATTATTTTTTGTCGCTCACAATCACTTTTTCTTTTTTTTGTTTTTTAACTTTCAACTTTTCCTCGGATACGCCAACACATATATATATTTTTTAACTTTTCCGATGTAAAGCCTTGGTTACGCTAATACACAAATACTTATTCGGTTATTTGCATATGATTTTTTATTCCGGAGTTGTTCCGGGATAAACACACACTTTTCGAAAAAAATTGTTTCTTTATGCTCATTGGCATTTATGTTATTTTATACCCTGTGCTCTTTACCTCTTGGGGGGAAACAATAGGGGACTACGGTTTTTAAACTGGGTTCTTTTTTACGCAGGTCGCAGCCTTTATTTTTTAGCTACCTTGGGCTGAGAATTTTTATTTTTCTTCAGCCACTCATACAGCTGTTTTCAAAATAATAGGAGTGCTTTTGCATATGCACTTGTCCCTTCTGTAGCAATGTTATGCGTTCATTTTTTTTCAATTTTATTTCTTTTTCCAAATTTGTTTATGGATACACATTCTGAGGTACCGTTATTTTTTCATTTTACTATCTTCGTTTTCTGAGAATTACCCAAATTCGTAAACAAACTTCATTTTGCGCTCATCAAAATAATAGGAGTGTGCCATTTTAATCTGTTCAGAGCGCAAAAAAAGGTAATTATTCTTAAAAAAACGGCTTAAAAGTATAGAATGATTAATATCCAACTACAATTTTAACGTTTAAGATCGAAAATTTAAAGCAATGGGTCGTGGCAAACATTGCACACCTGAGCGGCGTGATTTGATCAAAAACTTGATTTCAAGTGGGAAAACGTACAAGGAAGTACAAAAAATAATTGGATGCGGTGCTTCCATGATCCGAAATGCACTAAAATTTTCACCCAAGCCGGAAACCCGTGGCCGACCCCAAGTTCTAGCCGATAAACTGGCTACACGTGTTGCAAGGTACTCGAAGAAGCATCCTTTTGCAAGCTGCAAAGAAATCAAGGATGAGCTTAACTTGGACGCAAGTATCCCAACAATAAGTCGTCTTTTAAAGAAGCAAAATTTGACTGCCCACAGTCCACGGAAAATTCCATTCCACACCAAGAAGCACATAGCCGCAAGAATGAAATTTGCAAAGAGCCATGTCAACTGGTCAGTTGAAAAGTGGCGTAACATCTTGTGGTCGGATGAGTCGAAAATAGTCCTTTATGGTGGCAAAGGATCTCGACAGTACGTTAGAAGACCACCTAACACCGAATTTAATGCCAAATATTGCATTAAAACGATCAAACATGGCGGACATAATATAATGATTTGGGCATGTTTCTCGTACTATGGCGTAGGTCCAATATATTGGATTAAAAATATTATGTATATAGGTGCCAGTTTTAAACCTGAGTCTCTTACCACAGGGGGGAAAACGTCAGGCTGTCTCAAAGAACCAAATGTTAAAAGGAGCCCCAAAATAAAGGTCGGACTCCAATGAGTTCCGTTTAAAAACTGATTTTATTTGGTAAAGTTCTCTTATAAGTAAGATACATGAAAATCTTAAAACTATTTAAAACTACTTATCAATGCACCGCACGTTGACATGCTATGCGACCCTTTCTCAAGTGCGATAAGCGGATGCGCTTATGTTTGTGTTATTTATGATAGGCTGCAGGGGATCGGTTTTAGACCATGCTGTTTGTCTCTTATTTCATGGGTCCGATCCCTTAAAACTCTATCTTTGGAATTTGTATATAAAATAGTGTTCAATGCTTGAACACTAACTGTATCAGATGCTTTCGTCACAGGTATCATACTAGGCACCAACTCTTGGCCGATGTGCCAAGTATCCGAATCACAAAATTGCTTCCCTTTGTTAGCTCTGGAAGTGATTACGCTGGACCGATAATTCTCAAGGATCGAAAGCGTTCCAACGCTAAGAAATCAAAGGGATACACATGCCTTTTTGTGTGCCTCGTCACGTCGGCACTACACCTGGAACTAGCCACTGACCTAAGCACGGAGGTCAGCCATTCCTTACAACCATTTCTGAAGGGGACTTGAGCCACATCCCTGAAAATCGATTGGACTAGGCGCAAGGCGTCCAAGCACTTTACCAAGGATTCTGGAAGCGCTGCCAACAGGAATCGCAACTTACTACACTACAACAACGTCCCAAATGGGAAACACCGCAGCCGAATGTGGAATTTGGAGCCCTCGTCCTTATCAATGATTCGAGTACTATACCAGCTTCCTGGCCACTGGCAAAGGTTATCGCAACGTACCATGGAGCTGATGGTATGGTACGGGCTGTCAAATAAAAAACTGCTACAGGAGAAGCAACTCGACCCATAACCAAGATTGCAATTCTACCTTGTTTAAGCTAGGTACACACGATGCAAACAATTTGGAGCTAGTTGATTGCTGCAACCAAATTTGCTCGTATAACGAGTAAAAACATTTTGCTGCAAACAAAGAACTTGCACAGTCTTTTTGCAGATATATTTTTTGCTTGTCGTCTGTATACAGTTTTTTACCACTATCTTTATTGCGTCATTCGCTTGATTGTTTGCATGTGCTGTTTGCTTTCAATCGCAATATTGCATCAAGCAAATCAATCACGAGAACACGATTAAATTAATTGAATTATATGAGAATCTGTGGTTCTCTATGTTTGGTTCACACCTATCTCATACTAAACATTTTTTACATTTTTTGTCCATTTTTCGTAATTGGATCCACTGTGGTGGCTGTATCTTCCCCAACTCTCATCCGATTCTCAAGCGGAGTTCCTTAAACGGTTTCTAGATCGATTCTGCACCATTCTGCATAAAAATCCTAAGACAAAATATTTTTTAAATTTTTTGTCAATTTTTCGTGATGGGATCCCTGAAAAGGGGGTTTTCCCCTATATGAACAACAGTGATGGATCTATGAATCTATTTTTCACAAAACAACAGAACTTACAAATGAGCGTCACTTGCAAGCATTGCAAACAAAAAATAAAAACACGTGTAGACATAACGCAATATTAATAATTTATCCTATATTATTATAACTAAAAGTAAGGATAAATTAAGTTAAAAGATATTCCATAATTTTGGATTTAATTACATCTACGGATAGTTCAGGGGATAATAAATGGGACAATGAGTTATAATTTTTACAAATAACGCGAAATGCATCGTGTTCCGCAAAATTAGACCTAGAAATCGGTAACCAAAGGGGTCGGAAGGATCTAGTTACTCTATTAGGCACAGAAAACATTAATTTTTCAAGAAGTACTTGTGAGTCAACCTGTCCAAGAATAAGCACATGAAGTAGCATAACCCCAGCACAAATACGGCGCTCTTTCAAAGGAGGTAGGTTTAGTAGTTTTAACCGGCAATTATACGACGGGAGGGAAGTGGCAGTATCCCAGTTTAAGCTTTTTAACGCAAATAGCAGAAACTGCTTTTGGACAGATTCAATCCTCCTTTGGTGAAACAAAGTATTGCGGACTCCAAACGCTAGAACAGTATTCCAAGATAGGACGAACCAAAGATACGTATAGAGTTTTAGTTGTGAAAGGATCATCGAATTCTTTAGACCGACGTTTGATAGAAGCTAGCACACCTCTGGCCTTATTAACTGTTTGTGATATTTGTTCGTTGAAGGACAACTTATTGTCAAAAATGACTCCAAGATCGTTAATTAGGGAAACACGATCTAAGACGTTATTCCCAAGAGAGTACGAAACGATGTGAGGCACACTGCGATTGAACGTCATAACCTTGCACTTAGAGCAGTTAAGCAAAAGGAGATTGTTTAAGCACCACAAGAAGACTTCGTTAGATCTAGTTGCAGATGTCTATGAAGGAAATGGTCTGACAAAGAAAGACATAACTTGACATCATCAGCATACATAAATGTAGTAGCATAGTTTACAACACTAGGTAAGAGGTCCTAAGTGACTACCATGTGGGACACCAGATGAAACGTTTATAATCTGTGATGAACTGTTTTTAAACAAAACACGCTGCGTGCGGTTCGATAGATAAGAGGTCAACCACTGTACTATATGTGAAGAAAACCCCATAAGACACAGCTTATGAAGGAGGAGATGGTGGTTCACAGAGTCAAACGCTTTACTAAAGTCAGTGTATACCACATCAGTTTGCATGCGACTCAGAAAACCTCTGTGGATAAACGAAGTGAATTCAAGAAGGTTAGTTGTGGTAGAGCGATGCTTGACAAAACCATGCTGTGAAGTGGAAATAATGCTTTTACAAAAATGTTTCAGTTGGAAAGTAACCAGTTTCTCAAGCAGTTTGGGAATCGCAGATAGCTTAGCAATCCATCGGTAGTTCTCAATAAGTGCTTTAGAGCCTTTCTTATGAAGCGGAATAATAAAAGATTCGTTACATCTCTTGGGAAGACATGCCAGCTCCAAGGATAGGTTGAATAAGATAGAACAGTACCTTAGAACACAGCTAGGAACATTGTCAAGTCCAGCAGAGAATGATATATCTATTGTTGAAAGAGCTTCGAACAGATCCTGAATTCGAAATTTTGAAAAGTAAATGTTGTTTATATGTGGTAATTTATAAGGATAAGAAGAATTGTGGTTATATAAATCGGACGAATAGGTGGTTTGAAAAAATGACGCAAAGAGATTAGCAATACCTTGCTCAGAAGAACGTGAAATATTTTTATATGAGAGGGAAGGAGGAAAAAGATTTGATTTACGTTTCATATTGACAAAGGAGTAGAAGGAGCTTGGATCGTTACGAAAGTTTACCTTACAATTCCTGATATACTGCTTATAGAGTTGATCGTTGAGAATAATAAACTGGTTGCGAACATAAAGAAAGTTTGACTGGTGCCACATCGATCCTGACTTAAGAAACTTTTTGTAAGCTCTGGATTTCCTGTTCTTAAGACGAGAAAGGTGTTTATTATACCAAAGATTATAAAGTACATAGATGGGACATCTCATACAAAGAAAAATTTTCTATGGCGGGTTCCAGCAGTGGAACCCGCTGGAAGAGCGGGTTCCATTGCGCGACAAGTTAAGTTTGAGAAATTTTTCGCGAGACAACGAATGAGGAATAGCCGAGTGGTAGTGTGCTTGGCTGGTGTGCAAAGTAAAATGAGTTCAAACCAGGCTCGGGACATCCATTTTTTTTTAATTTTAAATCTATTTATATTATTGTTTTATTATTTTAATGAGTTTTCCTAAATTTATAATCCAATAAAAAAAATACAAAATTGTAAAATCACCTTAACATCGTCTCAGGTGGTAGTGGAACCCGCTGTAAAAATGTCTATAAGTGCGGGTTCTACGGCATTTTGGCAGGCCGCGTCGTGGAACCCGCTCTCAAATGTTTTCATTTTTTCCGTCGTGGAACCCGCTGTATAATGAAAACATTTGAGAGCGGGTTCCACGACAAACGCCTGGCAGATGAGATAGGGAGAGAGAGAATTCTATTTTTAGATCGTAACATCTTTGGAACGATGAAAATTTGAAACAAAGTAATCGAACCAATGTAAGAGTAAAGAGATCAGAAATATCTTTTACTATCCTTACTCGTCAACTCTGTTTTTGGTATAGATTCTAGCGCCTCCTTTAACACCAATTTTATGTATCATAAAATCAACTTCGAGGGTAGCCTAGATGGATAGTGCGCGATTCTTATTCATGGGGTCCTGGGTTCGACTTCATTAGCGGGCGGTTGTTTCGATTTTGATAAAGTTTTAGTTTTATGATTCTTTTTATATTTACTTTTATTTTTATATATTTTTTTTTTTACTTTTAATTTTTACGTTATTATTATTATTTTTAATTGCATTCTAAAACAATAAAAGTAAAAATAAGTGACGGACGTGTCTGATGACAAAATGCCGGAAGGACTTCCTTGAAATTTTATTAGCCGGACATAATGAAGAATTAAACAATTTTACAATTGTAAAATTAAAGAAAAATATTACAATTAAAGAAAAAAAAATAATAATAATTATAAAAGAAAGAAAAAGTTCAAAGTCCTTACGAGGATTTGAACACAGAAAAATTACACATAGAGTAGCTACTCTATGCATTACGCTACCATCCTGTCTCGATCTGCGGCGATCAAAAATACTATTTGTTCTACCAACTACCACATCGGCGCATCGAAAACAGAAACGAGAAATTGAAATTGATATTTGGAAGCCAAAACATTTTTACTCCGTCGTGCGAGCAGTCACACATACATACATAGGTTCACATTTTTGTTGACGGATACATGTAATGAGTTCTAAAAATAGAATCGTATGCATGTGCGTTTCCCCCCTCACCAACAAGCTCGACGCAAAAAAGTTGTGCGTTTTGGGCCCTGATGTCCCATCTATGTACTTTATAATCTTTGATTATACCAAGGTGGTTTTGTAGACAATGATACTGGGACTTCCGGAACAAATTTGTTCAAGGCATTATGAATTATTTCGTAAAACGAATCCGTAGCTGCTTCAATTGTGTTTATAGATGAAAGAAAATTCCAATCGATTTCAGCTAAATGATTCCGAAGGGCCATAAAATCAGTCTTTCTGAAGCATTTGAAACGAGGTTTAGCATTAAAGCAAGCATCATTGTGAGGCACATCAATTAACACCGATGCTAATAGTGTAGGGTGGTGAAAGTCTTCAGGAAGCGATAGCGGCGGGTACCGAATGACTGTCACAGAGGATGACACATTGGAAAAAATAAGGTCCAGAAATCTGCCATGCGTGTTATGAATTGGATTAATTTGGCGCAGGGCAAGATCGGTTAAGCCATCGATAAAGTCGTTATGACAACTGGAAAGCAAGGAATTGTCTACCTCAGACGGGATCCAGGAAATGATGGGAAGGTTGAAATCTCCCATGATTAGAATTAAATCACGGTCCTTGGCCAACGAAAAAACAGACCTAATGGCATCAAGATGGTGAAAGTACACAATATCTTCAGCCATGGGAGGAATGTAGGAACAGGTCAGGAAAATATGAGACGAGCCCGTTAAAATTTTCATCGCAATGAACTCAACTTTCTAACGTTTTGATAGCAGCAGGAAAATACGGTTATTCAGTTTTTTGAAGCAGTTTCAGGGCTAGGATTCTGGGCGTCTTTGGCTAGGAATTCATGAATGATACTGTGCTCAGGCCAAGCTACAGGATCAAGTGCTTTTTCAAGGTAGGAATCAGGTATAACTATTTTAAAAGAAGAAATAGAACGCTTATGCTTCAAGTTAAACTTAAAAACAGCTATTTCATTAGGAGCTACCTTAAGATGATTTAACAGGTGACTCTTGACATCATCAACAGTAGCATCCGGCATAAGCCGAGAGACAAAAATGGCCTTACGAGGAGCAACCGCCCTCAGCGTAAGTCCAGAAGATCTAACTTCAGGCGCCACACCAACCAGAGGCCTTGGAGACATCACAGCTAGAGCAGAGGGTAGGTTGTCCAAAGATGTCCAACGATGGAGGCTCCAAGATGAGAGGTGGCTCGCGATTTGTACTTGGTACACTGATCGCTTCTTGCAAGGGATAAATATTAGAGTGCCCTGAAGGAAGGCTCATCAAGTCTTTGTAGCTCATCGTATATATTGCACGAAATAGCCATGCAAAAGTTTACGTGCAAAACAAAAATTAATTGAAGCAAGAAATTTTCTTGCAATTTGCTGCAAATTATTTTCAACTTGCTGCAAATTGTTTGCATCGTGTGTACCTAGCTTAAAAAATGTACATGGGCTGGCAAATTTGAATTTTTATAATATGAATATTAACAAAAAAAAAATTATAAATTTCAATATTTCAAGCGTTTTTAGAATCAGGGTAAAGATTTTCTAATAGCTCGATCCAATTTTACCTTGCATAACGCTGAATGTTCTAGGAATTAAATTAGTCGCTGCCAAATTCAAATTACCAAGATCCGAAGCAGTTTTATAACTTTGCAAACACTAAGCGTAAACATGTACCTTTTTATACCCTTGCAGAGGGTATTATAATTTTGTCCAAAAGTGTGCAACGCAGTGAAGGAGACATCTCCGACCCTATAAAGTATATATATTCTTGATCAGGATCACCTCCTGAGTTGATATAAGCATGTCCGTCTGTCCGTCTGTCTGACTGTCCGTTTCTACGCAAACTAGTCTCTCAGTTTTGAAGCTATCGACTTGAAACTTTGCACACACCCTTCTTTCCTTTGCACGCAGTATATATGTCGGAACGGCCCGGATCGGCCGACTATATCCTATAGCTGCCATATAACTGATTGATCGGAAATGGTATAACTTTGGTGTTTTTAGAGTTAGAGAGTTTAAATTTGACACGAAAGCTATTTTTGGCAAATCATTACTACATGCCAAATTTCATAAGGATCGGCCGACTATATCTTATAGCTGCCATATAACTGAACGATCGGAAATGACCCAACTTTTGTGTTTTTAAAGAAAGAAAGCTGAAACTTAGTTTTAATTCTATTTTTGGTCAGTTAATCAAACCTGCCAATTTTCATTAGAATCGGCCGACTATATCCTATAGTATAACTGAACGATCGGAAATGGTATTTGGTAGAAATATCAATTTTCGTATTTTTGAAGATAGAAGCTTGGGACCTTTTTTTAGATTTTTTATTGTAGTTTATTGGTTTTATTATGATTTAATCATAAGAATCGGCCAACTATATCCGATGTTTGCGATATATATCCGGTTTTAACTGCAAGGGTATATCAACTTCGGCTCCGCCCGAAGTTAGCTTTCCTTTCTTGTTTTCATTAATTTTAGCTCGTTTCCCTCGAGTGCCTATTTGGTAATCTGTTCAATCGATTCCCAAATAGGACATTAGTCTAACATTGGTAAATTCCAATTACATGGAAGAATTGGGCGCCAAGCTGGCCCATGATGTCCATCTTGCCGCAGAGGAGGGCTTCGCGAAATAGCCAGAAAACCTCGTCGATCCAAAGGAGGCAGCTGCCTTCATGGCCACATTGGCAACGGTCTTTGTGCAAAGAATTCACAAAGAACTTAAGGAAATGTAAGTATTTATATTATCATATGTCATAAAAAATATATATAATTTTTTTTTCCAGGCACATGGATTTGGCGGACTGCGATTTACTAACCCCAGACGAGAAGACTAGGTAGGATGACGAGGAGCCAGGACCATCGAAGAGGATGAAGATGAGTTAGTATTAGTATTATAATATAGTTCAGTATTAGTTTTTGTATTAGTTTTAGTTTAGTTAAGTTGAATTTCGTTTTTGTACAGTGGATTAGGCCTCTCGGGGATACCACTTTAAAAAAAACGCGCCATTTACTCTACCGAAAAGGTGGTGTGGAAAGGAGTATTTTTAACTAGAAATAAATTTAAACAATTTTTAATAAATTTTAAATTTTAAATTTTTCCGATCGTTCAGTTATATGGCAGCTATAAGATATAGTCGGCCGATCCTTATGAAATTTGGCATGTAGTAATGATTTGCCAAAAATAGCTTTCGTGTCAAATTTAAACTCTCTAACTCTAAAAACACCAAAGTTATACCATTTCCGATCAATCAGTTATATGGCAGCTATAGGATATAGTCGGCCGATCCGGGCCGTTCCGACATATATACTGCGTGCAAAGGAAAGAAGGGTGTGTGCAAAGTTTCAAGACGATAGCTTTAAAACTGGGGGACTAGTTCGCGTAGAAACAGACAGACAGACGGACATGCTCATATCAACACAGGAGGTGATCCTGATCAAGAAAATATATACTTTATAGGGTCGGAGATGTCTCCTTCACTGCGTTGCACACTTTTGAGCAAAATTATAATATCTTTTGCAAGGGTATAAAAATGTAACCCGTTTTCCGTTGTCACGACATCACATGAAAACGACCTGACCGATTTGGCTGATTTTTTTTTTAGTTTTCTAATACTGTCTACAAGATACTAACGGAAAAAATATTAAGAAAAGCGTTCTTAAGTTGCCGCGAAAACCATAAAAACAGGCGTTTTCTATTTCCTATACACAAGCAAATAAAACTGGCCTGGTGCTGGTTGTCAAATGTGTGGTTGCGTTTAGAAATTGGTTGTTATTTAGTGACAACGCATTAGTGACAAGTTTGTTTGTTTTAAAGACTAAGAAGTTTTTGTTTGCTAATAAGTGTTTGTTAGTCACAGTAAGTTCACTTCACTTCATATCTTTTTTTGGTAACATTTGGTGACTACACAGAAACCAATACAAGAAACCAATACAAGAAACCAACAATGCCAGCAACCAGACGTACAAATTTAAGCCGCAAAACTCGAAATACGGCAAGTCAAAGATATATAAGAGCAAATCTGACGAATGAGCAACGCGAAGCGCGAAATAAACTTCAACAACATAGAAATCAACATAGAAATTTTGTGTTTAATCCCCACAGAGCTGCATTCAGTTATAATATGGCAATTGATTACAGTTCAGAGCCAATTGTTGCTATTGGACTAATGAATATTGAAGTGAAGTGAGTCCACATTGAAATGGATTGAAATTCAAAAAAGAAGTCCCTGGATTGTGTTGCGCCAGCGGCCAAGTCAAATTGACCCCATTGGTACCACCACTAGAGCGACTACATTCATTGGTTTCCGGAAATGGGCCAGATTCTAATCATTTTTTGACTCATATCTAGCAAGACAATAATTGCTTTCAAATGACGTTATTTGGCGCAACAAAAGTTATTCGAGACAATTTTTTACCTACTTTTAAGGTAAGTAACATTTGCTCTACAATTACCTAAATACATGTTTATATTCTTGCAGATTCTGGATCAAATATATCATAGAAAAGGTTTCTTATTGCCAGTGCCGGATGAAGACTATACATTTTTGCAAATATATTTTATTGGCAATTTAACAAGAGAAGTCGATCAGTGTTGTGCACACAACCACTCAGTGAAAAGATCCATTGTGGAACAGCTTCAAACATTTTTCCATCAACACAATGAATCAGTTGCATTATTCACAACTGCATTAGACCGCATGCCATCAGATAATCATTAAATTATCATCAGACCCGATAAGGCGCCTGCAGGACAACATGCTGGACGTTTTAATGCGCCAACAATTGATGAAGTGGCTATTGTCGTCGTAGGAGAAAATTTAGAAAACCGAGACATAGTTTTACATCGGCGGAACGATCAACTTCAGTGTGTGTCTGAAACACATCGATCATATGACGCCTTACAATATCCTATACTATATCCTATACATACTATTACGGACCCTAAAACAGAAACAGTACGAAAATAATTGAAAGCCCTTAACTGTAACCATACAACATATAGACTACTCCGTTGTTGACTTCTCAGGTATCTCTGGACTCCAAAACTTCACCCCAAAACTTTACTGTGTTTTTTTTCCATTATATTTCCATTTTTCCATTTTTTTTCCAAAATAAGAGAATTTTCTCGTAACAGAGTTTCACTTTTCTTGAGTGAACCTCAAAATACATCTTAGAAGAGCTATATCGGTAGAGCTATAGAAGAGCTATCGGTACTACTTAAAAAGTGCCACCAGTAGCCGAATCATTAAAAAACAGAAAGGAAAGCTAACTTCGGGCGGAGCCGTAGTTGATATACCCTTGCAGTTAAAACCGGATATATATCGCAAACATCGGATATAGTTGGCCGATCCTTATGATTACATCATAATAAAACCAATTAATTACAATAAAAAATCTAAAAAAGTCCCAAGCTTCTGTCTTCAAAAATACGAAAGTTAATATTTCTACCAAATACCATTTCCGATCATTCAGTTATATAGCAGCTATAGGATATAGTCGGCCGATCCTAATGAAATTTTGTAGGTCGGATTAACTGACCAAAAATATAATCTGTACCAAGTTCCAAGCTTTCTATCTTCAAAAACAAGAAAGTTGGATCATTTCCGATCGTTCAGTTATATGGCAGCTATAAGATATAGTCGATATAAATTTGGCATGTCGTCGTAAAAATAGCTCTCGTGTAAAATTTGAACTCTCTAACTCTAAAAACACCAAAGTTATACCATTTCCGATCAATCAGTTATATGGCAGCTATAGGATATAGTCGGCCGATCCCGGTCATTCCGACTTATATACTGCGTGCAAAGGAAAGAAGGGTGTGTGCAAAGTTTCAAGACGATAGCTTTAAAACTGAGAGACTAGTTCGCGTAGAAACAGACAGACAGACAGACGGACATGCTCATATCAACTCAGGAGGTAATCCTGATTAAGAATATATATACTTTATAGGGTCGGAGATGTCTCCTTCACTGCGTTGCACATTTTTGGACAAAATTATAACCCTCTGCATGGGTATATAAAATGATAATGTTTTAGCTAATAGCATTTCACAAAATCTTGTAGCTTTCGCCGTTTCAAAACAGGTAGACCTAGCAATAAAATAGCTTAAATGCCAACAATGTTCTAAGCTATTAAGCAATATTTTCGATACAACGATATTTTTTTTGTAAATTTTGCACTGATGAAACAACCTTATTTTTTAAAATATCCCATTAAATTCTTGAATATAACACTTTACTTAAATTAATAAAAGAAAACAAAATGTAACTTATAAAACAGCATCTTTTGCTGCCCCCTGCCCGTCACATTAAAGCCGATGAATGTCACATATAAGGTAAGTATCATGAGGTTTCTTCGTACCTAATATTTTTGGTTATGCCCCCTAAACAAGAGAGACTCATATTTTCACCTACGAGAGGCTAAACGACACTGTCATTTTTGGAAATTTCCTGCTAATAATTGTGGACAGTAATAAAAACTTTAGTATTTAGATTGTACCACCGGTTGCTACACCAATGTCATCCGGTTCTCATTTTATGGGAGAATTTTATCCTGCAAGCCGTGCCGCGGTTTCTCTTCCTCGAAAACCCTACATATGTAATAAATAAAAACTTTAATAAAAAAAAACTTAAAAACTGTAATAAAAACTTCAGTGTTTAGATTGTACCACCGGTTGCTACACCAATGTCATCCGGTTCTCATTTTATGGGAGAATTTTATCCTGCAAGCCGTGCCGCGATTTCTCTTCCTCGAAAAACCTTCATATGTATTTTTTTTAATGACTGATGATTTCTCTTTCATTGGTCAACCGTAGTTAAAGGAAAAGTAGTTTGCATAAAAAAATAAATAGTTTAAGCAGTTTCCGTTTCAGCTAAAAATACTATAGTTTCTCTTTTAAAAAAGAGTTCAAATAGTTTCGTTTCAAATATCTCTTCTTAGTAACATATGGTACTTGCTGCCTTTTGAAGTAAGACAATGTCCCAAAAACTTGTTTAAACTGGCGCTACAATAAAAACATGATCGGATCGGAACATGCAAATCGTAATTTCAAATCGGATAGTTTTATCTCTTATAGTCTTCGAGATTCAAACGTTCAAAATTTTAACACGTTTGTATGGGAATGGGAATATACATTAGAGGTCTGCATAGATACACTCTTATGCATGCGTTCATACCGACAGACGGACATGGCTTGATCGACTCGGCTGTTGATGCTGATCAAGAATATATATACTTTAAGACGTTAGAAATGATTCCTTCTATACATATTTTACATACTTGTATACTTGAATACAATATACCCTTGTACCCTACGAGTCCCGGGTATTTTTGAGGTTATATCGGGTATATCCATGTTTGCGACATATACCATATATGGTTACGAAGAGGTAATCAGGTTGATTACCAGCAACTCGAAGTACGTTTTCGGTGTGTTTGTGGACTTTAAGGGGGCTTTTGATCACCAGAGTTGGGCTAGGGTGATGAGAGGTTGAATGAGTGTGGGTGCCGGGACGTAGCTCTTTGGAAGAGTTATTTCTCGGGACGTAGTGCATGTGTGATGTGGGTAAATGATATTGTGAGTATCGATGTGGCTCGTGATTGTCCACAGGGCTCCATTTGTGGTCCATTTATATGGAACCTCATGATGGATCCCCTACCGCGGCAGCTCGAGGAGGTATGCAAGTGTTGTGCTTATGCGGATGACTTTCTCATCTTGAGGGCCAGTCGCGTTCGAGGATTGAGGCAAGCGCCACAGAGTGCTTGCGCATTGTTGGCCAGTGGGGCAGCAGTGTGGGTGTCGGTCTGGCACTGGACAAGCCTGTGACAATGTTGCTGAGAGGCATCTTGTCCAATCGAGGTCCCGGGGGCATTAGGCCTCCGACTGTCAGGATCGACGGCTCCAGCATAAGGTATGTGAAACAGGTGAAATACCTGGGCGTGACCGTTGGGGAACGGTTATGCTTCACACCACACCTTGCCAAGTCTGAAGAACCGTTGGTCGGTGCGGTTGGGAAATTGCGCCGAGTTTGGCGAAATGAATGGGGTCTCAGCAGGAGAGCTGTCCGCACCATATACAGTAGCTTATTTGTTACTTGCGCAACAAATGGGTCGGCAATATGGAGTGAGATAACCTCGACTGTTGCTGGCAGAGGGTGATTTGCAGTTTGAAGTTTGCAGTGTGCAGCGTGTTATATTGTTGGGGAGTATGCCTGTGGGTCGCACTGTCTCTACGGAGTCTTTGCAAGTGTTGTTTGGAGCAGTTCCCCTTGACTTGGAGATACGGCGTAGAGCCGTAAGCTACAAGCTCAAGAAGGGGCTGCCATTGCTGGAGAACGAATGGTTGTACCGTGAAGTGTGAGGGACTGTGGAGAGTTCGAGGCCCAGTGAATGGAAGGCTATGTGAGAATGGGCGGGTCACTTACGAGTTCATTCCAGAAGTCTCGTTTGTTGCCGACCGATCGGACTTTGGTTTCAAACTAGGTGCCGGGTTCCTATTGACTGTCCATTTATCGCTGTCCATTTATTATTTTTGTCGAGCGGTAGGAGTTTTGGAGGCGCTACTGTGGACTGACGTACATAGATGGGACATCTCATACAAGCAAAAGTGTTTCTTAAGTGGGATTCAGCGATGGTTTCTCAGTATTATAATTTGGTACCTCAGCAGTTCTCCTTGGAGCAGTTCCCCTTGACTTGGAGATACGGCGTAGAGCCGTAAGCTACAAGCTCAAGAAGGGGCTGCCATTGCTGGAGAACGAATGGTTGTACCGTGAAGTGTGAGGGACTGTGGAGAGTTCGAGGCCCAGTGAATGGAAGGCTATGTGAGAATGGGCGGGTCACTTACGAGTTCATTCCAGAAGTCTCGTTTGTTGCCGACCGATCGGACTTTGGTTTCAAACTAGGTGCCGGGTTCCTATTGACTGTCCATTTATCGCTGAATGCATGTTTGCATAATCGGCACCTGGCAGACAGTCTGGAATGCCAGTGTGGCTCGGACACTCACTCGAGACCTGGAAGCACGTTCTTTTGTGAGTGTCCGCTGTATGATGATCTTCGTGATCTGGGTGGGTTGGATGTGATTCAGGCCGGGGGGGACTTTGACTTTAGTCAGGTGCTCTCCACTAGCGATAGGGTTGATAGGTTGAATGGGTTTGCGAGAGCCGTATTCAGTCGTCGTCGAAGACCTTGATTTGTGGATGCCGAGGAGTGCTAGGGGGTGAATGGTGTGTGAATCAGGATCAAGTGACTAGGTTTTTGTAGGTTTTGCGGTGTTTTCGCTCACCGCCGGGGTGATCAGTCCCCGAGCTTCATGGTAACTGAAACTGGGAGTGCTTCTTTTAGTTGCACGAACCTGACCTTTTCTGGTACCACGGGTGATGAGGATTTACGGAGATGGTGCTCAACTCCGCCTTGTCACATGTCCTTAGGGATTGTTGGGAACTTAGCTGGCCGTCTTCTAACGGTCTGGTCATTGAGAAGCAGTAAATGCCGCGAGTTGCGGAAGAGGAAGGAATAGTCCTCGCCTCCTCACAGTGAGAAAGCCATGCCCATGAGCATGGTAAATAAGACTGTTACATCTTATGACTCGTCTTCGCCCATTTCATAATGATATTCCAAGCAGCTATGTAAAATATTGGGTCACCAACCCGTGATTGTTCTGGAGTCAAAATTGGTAGTGTCCTGTGATAATTTCTGGTACTACGAGCGCCAGAGCCCACGGAACTTGTTCCGAACTGGCTATGGTTGAGGCCCCTAGGGGCCGTGGTGGCTGTCGTTTAACACCTGAATGCGGGTAGAGCCTTCGGGTTCGACGTGGAGTTGCGTTATACAACCGGGTGCCGGGATCCCATAGACCGGAAGAGCTTTAGGTAACCGAGGATAACCTCCATCCTCCAGGATATAAGCCATGACTAGAGCAGACTGGCTTAAGTGTCGGTATCCGGCGGAACATGGTTCAAAAGGGACGCTGATTGACGCATCGTTTCATATCCCATGCCCGTGAGATTGAGCCAACATGGCAGGTGCTCACGTTAAATTCAATAGACTTTCATACCCTTGTACTCTACGAATACGAGTGTTTAGTTATACCTTAAGCCCATAAGTTAACGAACGAAAAAAAGCAAGACAAAAAAGTAAAGTTTAATTCGAGCAGAGTGGAAATGGATATACCCTTGAAGTTAGGATCGGATTTATATACAGCACATATATTCTACAAAAAACATAATTATTAAAGTTGTTGCTCCAAAATCCTTTGGAAATTTCCTGTCGGGTAAGTATGGTTCAAACTGGAAGCTCTTGGATAGGTATGGTTTTGCAATTATGACTTTATTGTTTTTGTCGAGCGGTAGGAGTTTTGGAGGCGCTACTGTGGACTGACGTACATAGATGGGACATCTCATACAAGCAAAAGTGTTTCTTAAGTGGGATTCAGCGATGGTTTCTCAGTATTATAATTTGGTACCTCAGTAGCATAGCCCCTTCATCCCCAATAAAATAAATAAAGAATAAAAAGAAAGATAAAAAATCGGCACCTAATACATAGATATGATTTTAACGCATTAGTATTTGCAACAAATAGCATGTGAGGCTGTGAGTATGACGTTTCACACATTTATACTTTGTGTGTGTGGCACAGAAATTTCCTATGCTCACGGGATAGGGCCGTGCCGACCACTGCTTTAAAGTAATGGGAGTGAAATTTTTTTATACTTTACTTAATTTTTGAATGAATAATTAATGAATTGCCTTATTCTTTTCCAATTGGTAAGCCAGCTAGTACAATTATCACCCCATTTTAAGTCCAAAACTAGATGGCACAAAAACATTTCCAAGAGACACATCGATCCTGGGGAAAAAACAACATTTAAAAATGAATGTAATATAATTAATAAAGTGTTTCCTGACTCACCTGCAGTAAAGGAACCCACTGCTAGAGCAATAAAGGCTCCTTGAAGTAATCGGAAGTTAAGTGGCATTATAATTTCATTTTCATTGCATGCGGGCTGATTTTGCAAGTCCCTGATCTTCTCGTTAGTACTATGTTTACTGCTTTCAAGTGCTGTTAAATCCGAAGAATGATGATTTTTATTTTTGGTAATTTGTCTTGATTGAGCCGCATATTCTGCTATAGTTATCCTGTCTAGAATTCCGCTTTCAAACAGATGCATGATACTAGGTAATAAGAAAAGAAAATAACCAAAGAAACTGAAATTTGTTCATTACGTACACATCGTTTAAGCTGTCTAAAAAAGGGCAACCAATTTGTACTGCCACCGCCGAATAGCGAGTATATAGCTTTTGGCTGAGCTGAAAGTTTTGAGCTCCATAGCTTTGCATGTTGAAGTAGAGTGTCTCTCGCCCACCCAGAACTGCTTTGTCCTCTCCTCCATCGGCTATTAGCTTAATACCCGCCTCCACTGAATCAATTAAAAAACCCGACCGAGTGTTGGGAAATTGGTGCTGCATTAAAGCATACAGCTGTCTAAAAAGTTCCGTTCCATTCTCCAGCATCTCTAGCGAGCTACTCTCCTTTTCTACATAAAGGCGGTAGCCATCATAAATCATGGCTTCTTTCAGGCGTTGCAAAGTGTTGATAGGGGACTCGCGGGCGGGTCGTGCAAACTGGCTTGTCAGTTGTGCGGAGTAGACATCGGCTAAGACGTAGGTAGCTGCTACCCAGTATACAATTGTTAAGAATTTAGCTCGATACCCGTTATACAGTTCCCGACAAGCTACCAAAGAAAAAGTAAAGAAATTTGATTCTTTAAGGAGGAGGATGCTAAAACGAATGCTTGATATTTTGGTAAAGGCATAACTATTCAACTAAAGAATAAAACGAAAAAAATATTGGCCGCAGAAAAATTTATTGCAACTTTTAAGTTTCAAAGAGTTTTCAGAAGCTTGTAAAATTGAGTCTTGAATTTTCAAAAAAAATATATATAACAGCTTCATTTCAGCTTTTCTTATTTTTTTTTAAATAAAAAAAAATAATTATTTCTTGATTTTTATTTGAAAAAATTGAAAAATTATGTGATTTTTATTTAAAGAATCAAAAATTAAAATCAAATCGAAATATCTCTAAAGCGGCGAAAATATTATATTTTACTTATTTATTTTAATTCGTAATTCGTTCAATTATTTCAGGTACGATGAGAGATAAAAGACGAGAGTAAAGCCTATTGAACCTGTTAATAACATATACATACATGCGTACATACATATATTAATATTATGCTTGAATTAAATGATTTTTAAATTACCTAATTTTACAAAATACGCTTGTGACCCATCGTTGTAAGTTAATCAATGAGAATAAAAAGCATACTACGGTCCCTAACTGGCTGTTCCTAGTTTAAATTTTCACCGGTATCTTTGTTCTCAATATTTTTCTGCTTCTTATTACACAGTGCGACAATAAAAAAAAAAACATTTACAACATTTACAGCTACAATATTTAACTATTAAAAGACGTCGGATATTTTAAAATCCGCTTAAAATTACGCGTTAATTTTTTTCTAAATAAAGTAAGATTTTGAGGGTGTTAGAAATATTTCAAACACGGTTTTGTACTATATTCGACCTAATAAATAATTCCTACTAGGGCTCTTCAAAAGTTCCAAATCACTGTCGCACTGTGTTATTTATATATTTTCAAAAAATTGCGAAAGTGTGAAATAAATTTATTTCTGAAAACATTTAACAATAAAGATACAAAATTGGGATTAATAAAATAAATTCAAAGTTTATGCTTCAAAAAATAAATAAACATAAATTAAATATCTTTACTTCATTCAATCATAAACAGAACTATCAAACATAGACTTTATATTTTTAAATTTTCCTTGCCCTATAATAACAAATTTTGAACTTAACAAAAGTGTATTCAATAATCTGTATTCGTTGAGACACGAGACATTTTACGTGTGGGGTGGCTCCTAAGTCTTTGAACAGTCTTTACCGCTTTATCCGAAAGTTCTCCAATAGAAAGTAAGGCATACTTAATTGTGTCAAGACCGTGAATCAAAATTTTATCCCAATATAGCTGGGAGATAATACGAGTATTGTTCAATTGGATATTCCCATGTATCAAGTGCGTACTTTATGAACTTTTCTGGATTAATACGATAACCTGATGACAAAGTTTTCGATATTGTCCCACTTTCTATCTATTAAATGGGAGTTTAGCACTGTCATCTCAGACGATAGGTACTGTTTAAAAAAAAACTCTCTGCCTGTGTTTTCATTGTTAGAGGATCCACTTTTCTGAACCATCCTTTCCTTTTTTCCTTTTTCCTTTTTTCTTATCCACTTTTCTGAACAATTTTTTTCCTTCTACTCTTTTAGTCTATATAAAAGTATAAATAAAAGTCCCAAGCTTCTATCTTCAAAAACACCAAAGTTGGTATTTCTACCAAATACCATTTCCGATCGTTCAGTTATATAGATCGGTAGTTATAGGTAGATCGGATAAACTGGCCAAAAATAGAATCTGAACTAAGTTACAGCTTTCTATCTTCAAAAACACAAAAGTTGGGTCATTTCCGATCGTTCAGTTATATGGCAGCTATAAGACATAGTCGGCCGATCCTTATGAAATTTGGCATGTTGTATTATTTTGCCAAAAATAGCTCTGTGTAATATTTTAACTCTTTAACTCTAAAAACACCAAAGTTATACCATTTCCGATCAATCAGTTATATGGCAGCTATAGGATATAGTCGGCCGATTCCGGCCGTTCCGACTTATACATACTGCTATTCCGACTCATATATAACTATATATTCCGACTTATATATACTGCGACTATACTATACTGCAAAGGAAAGAAGGGTGAGTGCAATATTTGCGATGTATATCCGAATTTGACAGCAAGGGTATAAAAACTTCGGTTCCGCCCGAAGCTAATTTTTCTTTCCTCTTATTAATTTGAACTATCTTTAAAAATTTTAATCATTAGAATATATCATCTGAACGATTTTAGCTCGTCTTGGGGGACACGTGCTTGAGTCCGAATAAAAAACATCAAGCCGATTCTTTCGATTGGCATTTATCTTCCCAATTACATATTGTATAATCAGATATAACATTACTTACACTGCTTTAGAAATAGCCTCAATGTAAACCAAATGCACTTTTGAAAAAGTTCGACTGGCCTTTTTACCCTCGGATGTTGAATAGGCACCAGACAGGGTGTTATCTCTTTAATATATACCAAATAAATTCGCAGTCCTCCAAAATACTCTACATCCGATGTGATGTAGTGCCGTCGCCAAAGATAAGGTATGGAAATAATAAAATAGAACATGGGACCAGAAAAGACTATTGTAAGAATAAGATATGGCCAGATATCCGGCTTAAAAGGTCGCAGAATAGCAAGGGCCTCATTAAGGCGTCTTGGGGCATGAGTGGCAAAGGCACCGGAATCGGCCAAAGTGAAAAACGAGTATTCAATGGCCTTAAGCCGCTCCGAGCTTAGACCGACATCGCCTAAGAAAAAATCGGCATGCTACTGGTAAAATAAATTAATGCATAGAATGAAGTTTATACATATCTTGATCACTTACGCCGCTCTGCAAAAGTCCGATTCCACCCGTAAAGCTGTCTTTAGAAGCTGTAGCATCTTCTGATCTAAAGGATCCTTGTGTTCTTCCAGGAGCTTCTATATATTTAAACCGGAAATTCATGTGCTGCGCCAAAAGCATGAGCAGGCGGTGGTCGCGTCCACCCGTAACCCTTAACTCGCTGTTATCCAGACTGTCAAGAGATGTTAAGTTTTCCATAAAACGGTCGCTCTTGTTCCCATAGGCGACCCAAAACCAGGGTGGAGACTAAAATTCAGATAGTTCGTCCAAGCTTTATACAGAAATTTTAATACGTTACGTGAAAAACAGGAACACGAAAAACGCGACCGTCAAAATTTTTGTATACAGACGCTCCGGACGGCAGGAGTGGACAGCGTTTTAGACCTAGGTTGTTAGTGTCATACCAATTTACCAACTGCAAATGGTTTATTTTGCTGGGCTGTGCCTGGTTATAATATATGCGAAAAGCGTGTTTTCGAGGGCGGGTTACTACGACCGCACGAAGTGGCTCCTCAAATTTTAATAGACTAGCACGGGGAAGCCAGTTAGCCCCCCAATAGAAAATGTAAAGGCTAAGACGGTGTGTTAAGTGTCGGTTATAAAGGTTATCCAATAATTCCTTGGGGTCGATTAGAATCAGACTGACACACTCGATGGCACCCATTAGATTTGCCTCGATGTGTTGAAAGAAAATCTCCCTGTTGTTGAATATTAGTGAATTATAGTAATTGCGATGAAGTCGCTTCACAAAGTCGTCCACGGGAAAAGATCGTTCGCCGTCGCAATTATCAAAATCTTTATTTGATCCGTATAGTATTATTATTGACAGGGGTCGTGGTCTAAGCCCGCTAATAATCTGAGAAAGCGCTAAAATTAAAGTTTATTTATTAGTGAAAAAAAGTTAAATTTGGAGTGCACAAACCTAATGACACATCCGATTTGTTGCAGGCATAGTCGGAAAGCCCAGAGCTAACCAAATAACAGAGAGCATATAAAAACAAGCTCAAGACTAAGAACATTTTTATATTTTTGACCCACAGCTCCAAGACATCTACCCTTTTTATACTCTTTGTACAGCTTTTAAATTACAGAACCAACGCCAATTAAGGCTTCAAGTGTAAATGTTAAATGTCACTGTCAATTTTGCTATAAAAGGTTCAGGATAATTGCACATTTTGACAGCATAAATACTTTCTAAATAGTTTGAAAATCAGTAGCTTTATTACCTACCTAAAAAATAAATTAAAACAATTAAGGACGGCTCTGCACTCTGCAATTAGCGCGTGTGGATATTACTAAATTTACATATAGCACTTATAAATATAGTTTATTGTCCACCAAATATTATTAGGAAAAAAATAAAAACGGTTAAAAAAAAAGGTCCACTGCGATGAGATGATATGAGATGTCCCATCTATGTACTTTATATTCTTTGGTGCCACGGTGGGTATATCATATGTCGTAAATGACCACTTTTTCTGGCATTTAATATTACAAGAGCAGCAAAAGAGGTTTTTGAATGCGGATTTAGGCTATAAAGAAATTTCATCCAAATCATATATACAAAAATATAACATTTTTCATAAACGGGCTAACATTTTTAGCGCGTGGATCTCGAAGATAGTTTTTAAAATAGAAGAACTAGAACTTCAATTTGGAGTCAGATCAAGTTTGTGTCAAAATTTTGTCACGCCGACTCCTGCCCCCAAAACAGAAATCTTATTATAGCGCCACTTCGTTAATGTTTTTTGAAAATGTTTTGAAGCCAAACTGTTCCAATGGGTAATCTACACCTAAAAATCAAACTACAGCCAAATCGGAGAATTTTTTCAGGAGTTATAGACTTTTTTGTCTGCTTCCCTTCTTAATCGTAAGTGTGGTTGTAGTTGGTAGTAGACTTTGTAAAATGATTTAAAATGATTTTTTCTAACAATAGATGTTTATAATAGGTATTATATGTACCTAAATAAATAAATATATAGGTATAAATGTACCTAAATGTTAAGGTACATTTAGGATAATTCAAGAAACTTTTTTAGAAAAGTAAAAATGTGGAATTTGACAAAAAAATCAATCGTTCAAAATAATAGTAGTACGAAACATACCACCGCATACCGCATATACAATTTGGTAAAAAATTTTTAAATGATTTTGTTAGCTGTAACAGCAGCACAGCGTTTTAGAAAGGAGTCTGCAAAATATTGGCATCTCTCCAGGTAAAGGGGCTCATCCACAGGCGAGCATGTTGGCGAAGATGCTCGACAACTTGAATTTCATTTCCCAAATGTTTTTTCAAAACGTTTTCCCAAATGAAGTCCGTGCCAACGTTTCCATCCATTGGCGAGCATGTTGTTGCCAAAGTAGACAAAATAGAATGATTTAAATTTCATGCGAGCATTTTGGCGAGCAAAAATTTGACGACAAACACGGCCATCCACGGGAATAAATTTTGGCGAGCACATGATCGGTAACGAACGCAATGTTAATGGGTGAGTTTATTTCTGTGACTATTCTCTTTATTTCACACCATAAGATAGCAATTGGGTTAAAATCAAGTGACTGTGGAGGCGATTCCGTAACCTTGATTCGGTTGTCGGTAAACCACTCTTTTGCCAAAAAACTGAGTGCTTAAGTTCTCTCTTTTGTAAAACGTAAAAAAAATATCATGTCCTCTAAGAAATATGGAAGTATCACCGTTAAAAATGTTTGAGCAATGGTAACGATCAGGGATGATTTTGACATCCATTCGAAAAAAGGGAAAACCAAATTAAGGCTGAAATAGAGGCATTAATAAGTGACAAATTAGTATCATTCAAATGATAATATGGAATGGGTGAAGCAGAAGGCAAAAAACTATAAAACTCAATATGAATTACTAACGCTTGAGGTGCATATCACATGGACTTAATAGTACATTGCATAATTCTACTTTACTACTTTTTAATTCTACTTTACTGTTAAACACGTTATTTAAAAATATAAGATCAAGAATTTTGGATAAATCATTAAAAATATTATTTACTTGGGAGAGGCCCACACTAAAAATATCATCTAAAACTATAATTTCATGACTCTGGTAAACGTTGCTTTTCGAAATACATGGTACAAGTTAGGCTCGAAGAACTCAGGCTCGTTTCCACAAGGATGATTATGGATTATGGAATACCATCCGGGACTGGTTCTCATTCTCGATATATTTTGGAATAGAACTTTTAGGTTTTTATTGGGGTCCGAGGACGACGAGTAGCTACAGTCCAAGGTGGGAATTGGACGGCAAGGCGGTAATGATGAATCTCCTGGTACTGGCGCATGTGAAGGCATATCCAATACGCATATCTTGCAAGATAGCCGACAGGGACACATAGAAATTTCCATTAGACTCATCAGTAGACCTGCGAGAGTCCAGTTGCAAGGCAAATCCAGTGCCAGGTGAAAACATTGATCGTTCATAGTCAGGCACATCCAAACGCAGCGAAGATCCACTCACACGTCCAAAACGTAAATAAACATCTTCCATCTGTGAAAAGAAAGCATCAGCGAGTGGCCCAGCGAAAAGAAATAAGATGCGCTGCCAACGTCTTGATTACCATCGTCTTGTTGTTGCTGGACATCCACAAGTGAAGATAAGAAGTAAACAACTCGCCTTGAAAAAAGTTGTTGTTGAAGAATATCGATCAGCAAACGAAGCAAATTATTGGAGGAATTAAAGACAGCGTCAACCGTTACCATTAACACCCACGCTGTGCTTAAGAAGAACAAGAAGTAACGGCGCCAGCGGCGCCGCTTACTGGGGTTTTTTTGAAGATCGCGGTTTTAGTAAAGGTAGAATCGCTGGGAGGTCAATAACCTTATCAGGCTCTCTATGGACAAACCGGCTGACTTTTACCGACATATGTCAAAAATCACTTGGTTCTACGTTCAGCTTATCTGCGACAAACTTGCACAGTGCATTTGGTTGGGTAGACGTCGCGAATTTACCAATATGAAGATATTTTAAAGTGGGAAGCATTTGAGGCTGAGCGCAACTGGGTGCTTGTCCCACAATGCGCCTATTAGGGTTGATCCGCTTCTTCCTCGGGACAGCCCCCTTAGATGCCGTTGTGGCCTGGTACCAGTGTAGCCTTTTTGCTCCCAGTGCTGGTAGGCATAGAAGGGGGAGCAACAACCTGGACCCCAGCCGAAGAAGCGCGTCCAGCGGGTCCAGCCGCTCCATTTACCAGGGCATGATCCACTTTGGCATTAAGGCTTTCGAAAAGGGATTCCAGATCCACAACCTTATAATTAAGCTTATCTATTTTGGAATGCCAATCATTTCCAATGACGCAGCTATCACATTGCCACATTAAGTTCGGAATGTTAATAAGTAATTTTATAGCCTCCGAAGGCAAATCCACACAAGCTGTGTAGTAGGCACACCGGCAAATCGACGCGCACCGAACGGCGTCACACCTACGAATTTGGGTAGCAGGAATTTCTTTACTGCACTCGGTGCAAACTAGAGGCGACATAAGCGAAAAAGAAAACGTCCGAACTCAAAGAAAGCTAGATGCAGACTGGGGGAATTGATTGAGTAAAATAATAAGCTTAACAATTTTTTAACATCAAATCCACAATTACAATTATTATACCAACAATTATATTATGCAGTATATTTATAGTATTTATGACACAGCAGAAAAAAAAAATTTAAAGCGACACGGAGATATAAGTAAAGTTTAAAAATATTGTCGCGCGACACCGTCTCGGGAATAGCTGAGCGGTAGAGTTTTTGGCTGATGTGTGACGCGTACCGGATTCGAGCCGAGCTGAGAATTTTATGCCTAGTTGTTCGAAGTATGCACCACCTCCTACTTTTTTTTCTTCTAATTTTGAGCTAACTGTATAAAAGAATATTGCATTCTTGAAGGGAGAATATTCCATTCCTCCCTTTTGGAAATGATGGTACTTAAAACGAGTTTTCATGTGTTCCTAAGAAGTACAGTAGTCTGTGCTGCTAGGAATTTTGGTATCGTTTAGTAAAAGAGTGGATTGCCCGGTGTTGTTTGGATTCCACTGGTGTGTTTCTCTTAGCCTGGTTGTGGCCACTTTCGCCGGCTCCATACCAGCTAGTTCTGGATTTGGAAGGTTAAGTATGGCGTTTAGAGTGGTATTGAGGGCACCACTGATGAATAGTGCTGCCACACTCTAAATTTTTTCCAATTTTTTTTAAGTTGGATTTTAATTTTTTTCCAACTATACTTTTTGAGGTCTGGCCACCATACCAGGACTCCAGTAGTTTGGCCTCACTAGGGCAGTGTACATCCAGTTCAGGGGGATATTCCCCTTTTAGACTTATTGCTTTTTTGAAGGTAAAGAGAGCTATGGCGGCTTTCTTCAACCTTTCTTCTATTTTTAGATATCAGTTTACCTCCCTATCTAGTACAACCCCTAGGTACTTTGCGCTGTCGCCGAAGGTGAGCCTCTGGTTGTTTAATATTGGTGGGGTAAGAGATGGGAGTTTATATCATCTACTGAATAAGACTAGATTTGTTTTTTTGCGCGTTTACTTCTGCTATTTCTGCGTGTCCAGGTTGCCAGGGTTTGCAGTTTTTCCTTATGAGGTCGCAAGGGGACTGAGAGTATTTTTCTGTAAAAATAATGGCACCTTTGCCACTAACTTATATCCTCTCTCTTCCATGTTACATAGAATCTGTACCTCTGCTGGGGTTCGTTTGCTGACGGCCCTTGAGAAGGTTGATGGGCCTGGTGTAGACATTACTGCCCTGCAAATTAGCAATTGATCAATGAGTCTGAAGTGGACATGTGGTTATCTACTCCATGGGACAACAGGGCGTCAGTAATGGTGCTTGGGAGAAGGTTGTTGAAAGCCTCTTCTATCTCCGGGAAGGCCACGATTTATTTCGAGATATTGCTCTTGCTATCTTAGAGATAAGCGTGTGGAGTAAAGTTTCTGGGGAAATACCCTCTTTTTAGGGATGTTGTTCTTTAGATATGAGGATTGGGTGTGGATCTTTTCCAT